ACTATGTTAAATGAAGGTTATTTAGGTTAATAAATCAACTCAAAAGTTAGGAAATGGCAGAATGTAAGTAACTGCAATCTCAATGCACCACTATTGTGCATATGCATTATACATTCTGTATTTACATAATCACATACTCTTTTTCCCCCATGGGACAGCCTTATTCAATGCACAGGCTGGATGGTGCTCAGGAAATGAGGAAACTATATTTCTTTCAATCCTGAACATTTAATGTAATATTTACTTCACACCATCTATGGCCAATAATGTTAAAACCAATCAGAAGTAATTTTTTTTAAATATTAGGAACGAAAGAAATCCTAACAATATATGGATCCATGATGCATATAGATGGTGATTACATCATTAATGATGCAAACAAGACAAGAGTGTTCAATCAAGATTTCTGTTCTTAATTTGGCAAGAAGCTGGATGATATATTGGTGTCACATGATAGTGAAATCCTTTCTGTGCCAACAGTAACTAAGAAGGACATTAAACAGACTCACCAAAAGATAAATATTTTTAGAATGACAAATCAGGATAATTGGCACCTGTTTTAAAAGAGTAGGCCGAGGACATTTCTGGAGCACTGATATTAATATTTAATAAATCTTTTAATACAAAAAGAGTAAATGGGATCATAAGGGTAATTATAGGTCAGACTGACACTGATCCTGGCTGATACAAGGCTCAATCAATAAAGAATAAAAGGATGGTAGAATTAATGCCTGACGAGATTTTTTTTTTTTTTTTTACGGAAAATAGGTCCTGTCAAATAAGCTTGATTTTTTAAGTGTTGATACAATATGATTTGACTTCTGCAAGTCTTTGTACCTCATGATATGCTGATTAAAATAGTATCATTCAGAAATCAATATAGCACACATTAAATGGATTAGAAACTGTCTGAGATCTCAAAACGTCATTGCTAACAGAGACCCATCATCAAGCTGGGGGGCTTCTACTAGGGACACACAACGATCAGCTTTCATTACAATGATATTGAATATCTTTATCAACCATCTGGAAGACAATATAAAATCCAGTGGCCTGATAAATGTTGCAGATGACACAAAAAATGTTGGGTTGTAAATAAGGATGAAGACCTGTCACCCCAGCAGAGCAATCTGGACTGTGTGGCAACTTTGGGGTGATCGAAGTATTTTAATACAGCCAAATGCAGATCATATATTTAGGAACAAAGAATGCAGGCCATACTTACAGAATGGGGAACTATATCTTTGAATGCAGTGACTGTGAAAAGGACTTTGGGGTAACAATGAAAACTGACTGAACATGTGTGCTCATGGCAATGCCGCTGCCAAAAGAGCAAATTCAACCCTTGAATGTATAAGCAGCAGAATATTAGGTAGCAATAGGGAGATGTTATTACCTCTGTATTTGCCACTGGTGATACCATTAATGGAATACTATGTCCAATCGCATATATTTGTAAAGAAATATGCTCTAGTTAGTTATTGGACTTAATGAGGAATATACAGGGTGAAATACTCTGGCCTGTGTGACACAGGAGGTCAGACTAGGTGATCATAATGGTCCCTTCTGGCCTTAATATGTATGGATTTATAAGTCTTGCATTTCCTGTTTTTGCTGAAGACCCCTTGGAGGAGCCAAGAACTCCAGTGGTAACTATGACAACGCTTAACTGAAGGAACAGGATTGTTACTGATTCTTTCCTCCAAAACTATCCGGCAATTGAGCTAGCTAGGCATTAACAAACAAAGCACCAAGAGTATAAAAAGTCTGAATAAAAATCCCTCTCTTCACATAGGTTCCACTTCCTTGGTGCCTGTAATATAATTTCCCTACCAGTTCTTCAGTCATCCACAGTCTTCAAAGTAGACAATACCTGAATTTCAAATGTAAATTCCAGCTCCCTTAAGGTTTTTCCCCAGGACTTCTTTACATATTGTAAAGAATTAAACAAAAGAACAACCCTGTTATTACCTCTGCAGATTCCTTTAAAGCAGGGATGTCAGAACTCACAAGTTAGCAGCCCAAGGCCAAGTGGATATTGTATTGGGAGGTTTCCCTAAGGAAGCAGCAAGTGATTCTGTCACTATGCCCTCTGATGTAGTACTAACTCAATGCCCCAGCAAGGCTTAATGGGCACTGTGCTGATGGAGACCCCTTCTTTTAGATGAGACATAAAAGGGAGGTACTGATTACTTGTAGCCCAGTGATACCCATACCTCAGTGGTTCAGTAGCCAAATTACCAATCAACATTACCCAAAAGAGCCACAGTAATGTGAATTCATTGTTTCATTCACTATAGTACTATTCATATTTAAACAGCATGATGGGAAATATTTAGTTATATAATTCTCACAGCAAAGAAGTTAATAACTTGATGCAAATTTAAACAGCATGATGGGAAATATTTAGTTATATAATTCTCACAGCAAAGAAGTTAATAACTTGATGCAAGTTGACAACTGATTAACAACATAGTAAAAGCATCTTGATTGGTTAATAAGTTAGGTTGGTTAACAATTAAATCACACACTGTTTTAATACCACGTGCTGCAAAGATCCACAGAAGACACATTAAAGAGCCACTTACAGCTCGTGAGTCACAATTTGAGTATCAGTGCTGTAGCCATTCAAGATCCTGAGACGCTATTTATGCTATTTACCAATGTTTATCTTGGTTTATCATGATTAACAACCTTGACACTAAACTAGGCCCCAAACTTGTGAAAATTTAAACACTCAAGTAGTCTCAGGGAATCAACATCCAATGAGACTTAAGCATGCCAGTTTCTGCAGGACTGGGGACCAAACTCCTTAGGTGGTTTCAAATTAATACAGCATTATGCTTCGCTGACAGTCCTAGACTGTTTATGCAAGGCTGCTGTTAGACAATAGCTGCCTTCCAGCTTGTACAGCACACACTTAGCTGAAGTGAAAAATGCAAGCAGAACTTTAAGTTCTTGCTAGGGCGTCTGTACCCTCAACTGTTGGAAGATAAGCACTTTCCCAGGAACACAGACATAACTTTTAGGGCTGTCAATTAATCTCAGTTAAACTCACATAATTAACTCAAAAAAAAAAAAACATGATTAATCACAGTTTTAATTGCACTGTTAATAGAATATCAATTGAAATTTATTAAATATTCTTGGATGTTTTTCTACATTTTCAAATATATTGATTTCAGTTTCAACACAGAACACAAAGTGTACAGTGCTCACTTTATATTATATTTATTACAAATATTTGCACTGTAAAAATGATAGACAAAAGAAATAGTATTTTTCAATTCACCTCATACAAGTACTGTAGTGCAATCTCTTTATCGTGAAAGTGCAATTTACAAATATAGATTTTTTTTTGTTACATAACTGCACTCCAAAACAAAGTAAAACTTCAATCCTACTTCTTATTCAGCCAATCGCCAAGACAAACACGTTTGTTTACATTTACAGGAGATAATGCTGCCTGCTTCTTATTTACAGTGTCACCTGAAAGTGAGAACAGGCGTTCGTGTTGCAATTTTGTGGCTGCCATTGCAAGGCATTTACGTGCCAGATATGCTAAACAGTCATATGGCCCTTCATGCTTTGGCCACTTTTCTAGAGGACACACTTCCATGCTGAGGACACTCGTTAAAAAAATAATGTGTTAATTAAATTTGTGACTGAACTCCTCAGCGGAGAATTGCATGTCTCCTGCTCTGTTTTACCTACATTCTGCCATACATTTCATGTTATAGCAATTTCGGATGATGACCCAGCACGTTGTTCCTTTTAAAAACACCTTCACCACAGATTTGACAAAACGCAAAGAAGGTACCAGTGCAAAATTTCTAAAGATAGCTACATTACTCAACTCAAGGTTTAAGAATCTGAAGTGCCTTCCAAAATCTGAGAGGGACAAGGTGTGGAGCATGCTTTCAGAAGTCTTAAAAGAGCAACACTCCGATGTGGAAACCGCACAACCCAAATCACCAAAAAAGAAAATCAACCTTCTGCTGGTGGCATCTGACTCAGAAGATGAAAATGAACATTCATTAGTCCACACTGCTTTGGATTGTTATTGAGCAAAACCTATCATCAGCATGGACACATCCTCTGGAATGGTGGTTGAAGCATCAAGGGACATATGAATCTTTAGCCCATCTGGCAGGTAAATATCTTGTGATGCTAGCTACAAAAGTGCCATGCGAGCACCTGTTCTCACTTTCAGGTGACATTGTAAACAAGAAGTGGGAAGCATTATCTCCTGCAAATGTAAGCAAACTTGTTTGAGTGACTGGCTGAACAAGAAGTAGGACTGAGTGGACTCGCAGGCTCTAAAATTTTACACTGTTTTATACTTGAACACAGGTTTTTTGGTACATAATTCTACACTGGTAAGTTCAACTTTCATAATAAAAAGATTTCACTATAGTACTTGTACTAGATGAATTGAAAAATATTATTTCTTTTGTTTTTTACAGTGCAAATATTTGTAATAAAAATAAAGTGAGCACTGTGTTGTAATAAAAATCAATATATTTGAAAATGTAGAAAACATCCAAAATATTTAAATAAATGATATTCTATTATTGTTTAACAGTGCAATTAATCGTGCAATTAACTTTTTTAATCACTTGACAGTCCTAATAACTTTGTATTGCCCTGTTCGCACTTCCCAGTCTGAGAAGTCAGTTGCCTTCAGAGAAAGGCAACACATAGGGACCGTTACTTAGTCTGTGCACATAGGGACAGCTGACCCCAGGAAGGGCAGAGGGTATCCCATTTACAGACCAAGTACTGTCTTAAAGCAGAAGAAGCTGCAACCAAACCCTCCTCTTCTGAAGAGCTGGCAGAGAGGCTAGAGCTGGCCTGCACCCCCTGCTCCTCCTCCCCCCCCCCCAACTACTGGGGGAGCCCCAACAAGGAAGGGGGAAGTGGGCTGCAGCCAGACCCCCCCCCCCCCACTGGGGTTTCTCGCTGGGCGCGGTCCGGGGGGGGCAGTCCGTGCTGCTCACCTGGGCCGTGCGCCTCCAGCCGGCGCTGCAAGCGGGGACGAGGCCGAGCTCGGGGAGGGCCGAGGGAGCCCCGCCTCACCGGAAGGACCGCGGGCTCCCGGCTCCGGAGTCCCGCCCCCGAGCCACCTTCCGCCCTCCCGTTTCCCCGGCCCGAGCGCCCCATGCACCCTCTGGGCAAAGCCCTCGGCGGGAGCTTCAGGCCCCTGCGCTTCCCTCAGGGAGACTCCCCCTCCCCCCTCCCCCTGGCCTCTCCCCGTCCGGGGCCCCCTTGGTCCCCGCCCGCCCCCCGCAGGCAGACAGGCCCCAGTTCTGCTCTCCTGGGCTCCCCCCTCCCTGCCCCTTGAACCCGCACCTCGCCCTGGACACCCGCACCCTTTGTTACTATGGGCCTGAGTCCGGGGGGGCTCCCAGATAGCTGGGGGCACAGGCCTGCCCTGGCGAGTGCAGGTTAGGGTGGGCTCCCAGGCGATGTGGGGGCACAGGCCTGACCTAGAGAGTGTGGGTTAGGGGGGGCTCCCAGCTACAGGGGGGCACAGGCCTGCCCTGGCGAGTGCAGGTTAGGGTGGGCTCCCAGGCGATGTGGGGGCACAGGCCTGACCTAGAGAGTGTGGGTTAGGGGGGGCTCCCAGCTACAGGGGGGCACAGGCCTGCCCTGGAGAGTGCAGGTTAGGGGGGGCTCCCAGCTACAGGGGGAGGGGCACAGGCCTGCCCTGGAGTCTGATGGCATGCGCAGCTACAACCCAAATAAGATCCTTCATTTATTGGTAGTTTGTCCATCATGATCCTTCCATTAAATGCATGTGTAGGTGCGTACGCTCCCCCCAGTCATGGGCAGCCCTGCATGTGCACAGCGCTGAAATACCAATCTCCATACATTAGGCATGTTAATTACCTTATTTTTATTGTATAAAATCCAAGGTACTTGCTCCTATGCTTGGGCAGAGGTAGCTGTCCCTCACTCCCCCTGTCAGAATCTGATTTATCTGAGTTCTGGCATAGCTTCCCACTCACCTTTCTGTCCTATGCAGAGCCCTACTTCCCTCATGCTCTGCTGGGCCCTGGCAGAACCTTGCTTCCTCCAGCAGAACTTCCTACCCCTCACCCCATCCCCAGGCAAAGCAATTCTCCCTACATCCCTCCCTCCTCTTGGCATGAGACTGCCACACCACAGATCATTTTCTACCAGATGTGTTAGCTGCAGTTTTCCCAACTGAATCTCATTGCTATTTTCTGCTCATGTTTCTAATCTGTAGGAGGGGACTGGATGGGGTGTCTACCTCACAACTGGCCTGAATAGGTAAAAAGGGCCTAATAACCCTTTGACAGGCTGTACCTGGAGAAGAGTCAGGGCTGCTAAGCTCTAACTGATGATAAAGCACAGCTGGGCAGGCCCATGCTGAGCTCATATAAAACCAGGAAGTGGGGATGCAAGATGGGGGCTATAGGAAGGAATGTGACAGTTGCCTCCAGGGAGGAGGGGTGTTGGTAAGAGACAAAAAGAAATAAGTCTTGGGATCCTACTTGGGAATAGAGATGCTGGCAATTACTTGAGAGAGAGTGAAGTGGCCACATGGAACAGAGGATGTTCTCCTGGTAATTAAGAGTGGGCTAGCAGAGGGAGAGACAGGTAGGTGGGAAACAGCAACAGGGTCTGAGATTGGATAGTGTGTGGTTTTGGGGCTGGAACTTGCAGGAGAGGGTGGGCTTAGGTTCCCCTACCAGCTACTAAAAAAGTGGCACTGTTTAGGTAGAGTAACATGCCTGAGACCATGAGACTTTGATACCCCAGAAGGGGAAAACTATAGTAACCTGGCTAGTGGGCCAAGCCATGAAGAGGGAGTAACTGAATCCAGTGAAAGAGGGAGGGTGGGGAACCAAGGAAGGTGTATCAGACTGGTTGAAAACTAATCCCCAGATGTGGCCACAAGGAGGTGCCATAGCAGTGAGTAGTAAACCCTATGACAGGGATGGTGGGAGGAAGCTTGCATGCTAGGACTACTGGTGCTATATTTCTCCAGCCTAGCAGCTCTAAAGAAAATGTCTGTTTAGTGGCTAACCACCTACCTTATTTTCTATACCGCCTGTTACAGGCTTTTCAATTGATCTGAGCCAGGGTTCTCTTCTGCAAAAATCTACAGGGAGTTGGTTAGCTTTTGCTTCTGACCGTCCATCTTTTTGAGTTGATTGGGATTCTTGGATAGCTTTTAAGATGAGGCCCATCTTATGATGGGGCTGGTTGGAAGCCAAGATCTTGAAGGGCTGGCTAGCTTGGACACAGGAATCTCTCTGGGAAGTAGTTATGTGGTCAGGAATCAAAGATTTCTTCTTGTACAGTGTATTCATGAAAGGCACTATTATGTGCCAGAGCAGTGAATGTTGTAAGTGGAGTTTTCAAATCCAGATAGTTCAATGGCTTCTTCTAACCACACAGATTCATGCAGCCACTCTCTGAATCTGTATGTAATAGTTCACAGATGGACTGTAATTAATACACTGGACCAAATCCCATAATCTTTGAAGCAATGGCAAAACTCCAGTGGGTGCTCAGACACTACAGTAATGGAAGCTGTGTAAGAACCTAAGGAAATATGTGACCATCAACGGAATAAGGATTTCACCATAAGAACAAGCATTTAAATGCTATGTGGAATGAAAAGGTGAGTCCATCCAGTGACATGAAGAAATGGAGAACCTGGTTAAACCAAAAAAAGAACAGGAGTACTTGTACCACCTTAGAGACTAACAAATTTATTAGAGCATAAGCTTTCGTGGGCTACAGCCCACTTCATCGGATGCATAGAATGGTACATATAGTAAGAAGATAGATCGATATTTTCACATACACACATACCGAGAAGTTGGAAGTTTCCATACAAACTGTAAGAGACTAATTAGTTAAGATGAGCTATTATCAGCAGGAGAAAAAAAACTTTTGTAGTGATAATCAAGATGGCCCATTTAGACAGTTGACAAGAAGGTGTGAGGATACTTAACTTAAGGAAATAGATTCAATATGTGTAATGACCCAGCCCAGTCTCTAATCAAACTGAAGTTAATGGTATCTAGTTTGCATATTAATTCAAGCTCAGCAGTTTCTCCTTGGAGTCCATTTTTGAAGCTTTTCTGTTGCAAAATTGCCACCCTTAAATCTTTTACCGAGTGGGCAGAGAGGCTGAAGTGTTCTCCTACCGTTTTTTGAATGTTATGATTCCTGATGTCAGATTTGTGTCCATTTATTCTTTTGCGTAGAGACTGTCCAATTTGGCCAATGTACATGACAGAGGGGCATTGCTGGCACATGATGGCATATATCACATTGGTAGATGTGCAGGTGAATGAGCCCCTGATGGTGTGGCTAATGTGATTAGGTCCTCTGATGGTGTCACTTTAATAAATATGTGGACAGAGTTGGCACTGGGCTTTGTTACAAGGATAGGTTCCTGGGTTAGTATGTTGTTGTGTGGTTGCTGGAGAGTATTTGCTTCAGGTTGGGGGGGCTGTCTGTAAGCGAGGACTGGTTTAAACCAAGCACCTTTTGAATAGGTATCTTCCCTTGCTGTTAGTCTTGATGTAAAGATGTGAAATGATGGAGAATTTACTACATCCCTTGGCAATCTGTTCAAATCATTATCCTCACTGTTGAAAATGTAACATTGCTGATCTCAATGTCCACCCATTGGATCTTGTTATATCTTTTGTCTTTATAGATTAAAGAGCCTCTTGTATTAGATATCTTCTCCCTCAGTAGATAATAATGGTCCATGATTAAGTTGACTCTTAACCTTCTTTTCAATAAATTAAAAAGATTGAGCTACTTTTAGTCTCTCCTTGTTTTCCAAACCACAAATTATTCCTGTAGCTCTTTACTGAAGCCCCTTAAACTTTCAACATCGCCTGCAAAGCATTCTACTATTTTTTGTATCAACAGCACAACTCAAATATAAAATACGGAGATAAATATATTTAACTTCCTATGAGCAGATCTGATCCCAAATAGTGTTTTTGTTTTTTTTAAATAGAGAGAGCACTGAATTAAATAGTCCCTTCATTCTGTGAGTAACAAATTAATTTCTGGCCAGTGTGGAAGAGATTCTTGGTTTAGTTTTTACTTAGCTTGGTGATGTTATAATGGAGTAGACTTTTTATTTTTGAAAAGGCAGATTTCCCCCCCCCCCCCCAACATCCTTCTCTCTGTTTGGATAATTCCTTGTGCATGAGGCCTGCAAAGTTTGCTCCTTAATTTAATTGACCTAATAGGTAGAAAGCCATTCCTGATGGCCAGCCTTGCTTCACTCTCTCCTCTTTTGGTTTCTTGTTGTTCCTCCTTGGCCCTTCTAAAAGAATTTTCCTTAATCTTGTTGTTGTTGTTATTTGCATAGGTGGAGCTGGCAGCAACACCTATAGCTAAGATTGCCTAATGGTTTCCATTATAAAACCCTATTTTCAGTTGTTTATAACTGCTAAACTTTAAGAGTGGGGGCTAAAACTTTCCATGCTGGGTGCCTGTCTCAGGCCAAATCATATTTTAAAAATTTCAGCAAAAAAACAGTCCACCTATTTCCAAGAATGAATTGAAGAGGAAAAATGTTTTGCTAATATTAAATTCTTACAATTCTTGAGAAGCTTTAATGCAAATATGCTGTTGAGTCCCAGCTTCACACTTAGCGGGAGTGTTGCCTTCAGGTCAAAAAGGGCTTTTTGCTGTCCCCATTAAAAATCCCCCCCCACGTGGCTTAGTTGTAAGCCTCTGAAATTGCTCTTTGCACATGCTTAGTGGAGGTTTGCTAAAAGCCTGGCAGCTAAATTCTCTGAAGATTCTGTCTGAACTGAGCATGCTCAAGCCCAGTTTTTCCCTGCAATTGCTCCTGTTTGTTGAACTAGAGGCTGTTCTTGCCACACTGACTACTTGAACTGAAAGCAGGGAGACTCTGTCCTGTGCTCTTAGGGAGGAGAAGGAAGAAGCAAACTGACTGCAGTACAGGGAGCTGGAGGTACAGGGATAGGCTAGGGGGTGCAGTCTGATGGGGAGCAGAAGTAGAGAGGAGGGAAGGGAAATGGG